CCCCAGCAAAACATTAACGAAATCTAAGCCCCAAGTGGTTTCCGGATGAAAAACATTGAAACAACCTTCTGGTTTCTTTCATTTTTTCTGTAAAACAGACCACTCTGGGCTTCGATGTCGTTGATTGTTTGGCTGGAGGCTTTGGTTTTCTCTGTTTTTTTTCCGTAGGTTTTGACGGATTGTTATGTTTTTGTTGGTTTTTGCCTCCCCCGCGCCTTCTCTGGGGTGAGGTGGAGGCGGCGCTTGGGGAGGGGCAGGGCGCCGAAAACCAACAAAAACAGTAAAATCAGTCAAAACCAAAGGAAAACCAGGAACATCATAGCACCCAGGCAAACAAATCAATGAAATCCAAGCCCCAACTGGTTCTTGGCAGAAAACAAAAGAAAACCTAATGTTTTTCAATGCTTCCCATCTGAACACCATTCGGGACCCTGATTTCGTTGATTGTTTTGCCTGGGTGCTCTGATTTTCCTGATTTTCCTGTTGTTCCTGTGATTTTGACTGGGTTTCCTGTTTTTGTTGATTTCGGGCTTCCCGCGCCTCCTCTGAGGGCGAGGTGGAGGCGGCGCTGGGACGGCCAGGGAGCCGAAAACCAACAAAAACATGAAAAACAGTCAAAACCTAAGGAACAACCAGGAAAATCAAACGCCCCAGGCAAAACATCAACGACACCTAGGCCCCGAGTGATTTTCGGACAAGAAACTGAAGAAAGCCTTAGGTGCTCTTTTAGGTTTTCTTTTGGATTTGCTGCCAAACACCAGTCGGAGCCTTGATTTCGTTGATTTGTTTTGCCTGGGGGATTTGATTTTAATGTTTTTCCTGTGGTTTCGATTGTTTTTCATGTTTTGTTGGTTTAGGGCCTCCCGCGCCGCCTGCATCGCGGCGTGGGTCTACTGCATTGCCGGTTTACGTATCTTCATCAGCCCACCCAGAAATGATTATTAGGGGAGTTGCCGTAAGGTGGGAAGTCAGGAGACATTCGTGAGACAGAGAAGAGGGGGCTTGCTTTCGCTCTTTTCCCCCGTCTGTTCATCCTCCTTCCTCTTCTTCCGTTTGAAGTGCAGTCGGGATGCACATGGTCGATAGTTTCGTCTCGATATGCTGGCGAGATCTTCTGCCATATTATGTTAGACAGCGTGGGCCCCAAATGGTAGGCTCTTGCAGACTATGCGGTGCAATCTGTGTGGTACAATTGTGCGATGTAACCTATGTAATGCAATATATGCGGTGCAATCTATGTGGTGCACTCTATGTGGTTAAGACAAGTCAGAGCCACGGGCGGCGGCGACGGACGGCGACTGGCGGCACCGCCCGGAAAAAAGGCGGCAGCGGTCCCGAGATGGCGGCGGCGACGGACGGCGACGGGCGGCACCTCCCGCAAAAGCCAGCAGCGGTCCTGAGATGGTTAAGCCAAGTAAGGACCCCTAAGTGCAAGCACTGTTTGGGGAATGTTCAAGACGCCCAGAGCCAGTGCGACGGCTGCGTTACGTAGAGTCATATGCCGCGGCTGCCTGGGGTCAGGGGGCGAAGGCACTCAGGTGACACAGTCTCGCCAGGGGCCCAGTTTCCAAGGCCCTTGCGTCCTTCCCGCGCGTCCTTGAAACTAATTGTGATTGTACTTATATTGCAGGTCTTCGCATGTTGGCAGTTTATGGGTCTGCAAGAGCCCAGGCGATCTTCCGTCCGAGACGCCTGCGGCGAATCACCGCCGCCCCTGCCTTTTGGAAGCGTCTATGTGGGCGAACGTTGTGGCCAGAGTTCGGCCAAGCTATCGGGCTATGTGTTCCCCCAGCCCTTGTGAGAACCATTCGGGGAACACGTGGGGGAGAGAGGAAGAAAAGGAGGGGAGGGAGGCAAAAGGAGGAGGAGGAGGAGGAGGAGGAGGAGGAGGAAGAGGCCTCTTGGGAGCCTCGTGGAGCTTCCTGGGAGCCTCTTGGCTCTTGGAGGCCTCTTGGGGGCCTCCTTGGGCCTTTTAGTGGCCTTTGGAAGCTCCGTGGCGGCCTCTTTGGCCGTCTAAGGGTTTTCTTGGCCTGTCTGACGCCGTCGGAAGCCATCGTGGGGGTGTCGCTGGGCCGACTTGGGGCGCTCTGGGGGCGTTTCAGGGTCGTTTTGGAAGTCTCTTGGGCAGTCTTGTTGGGGCCGTCTTGGGGAGCTCTTGGAAGAAATTTCTCCAAGGGCCGATGCGTTTTCCTACTTACAGAAGGTGCGCGCTTATACAACATGGGCCTCGACCGAAAGCGAACCCTCGATGGAGTACTCCACGATTTCGCTGTGCACAAAAAGAAGAAGATCGGGGGCAAATGGGTGAAGCCCAAATACGTGCAGCTTTTTCGCCATCAAATGCCAGGCGGCGGCGTGATATGCACTAAGGGCGGCACGCAAATCATAGACAGGATTTGGCGCCACGTGCGCGAGGTCATGTCCAGTCGCTCCCCATCGGTGAACGAGCGTGGCTGGGACAATCGAGTGCGATCCGCTCAGTGGCTGTTCTGGAATACTGGTTTAGATTTATGGAGTCAGACTGGCGTGATGTTTGCAAAGTTGAACTCCGATTCGTGGGTGTCCGCAAGGCCTTCGTGTGTGAACGCTTCTGCCCGAACTGCAGAAAACATCGATCTGGATCTTTCCAGCCATATGGTTGGCGGGGTGCGGTCTGGCTGGTCTGGCTGCTCTCTCTGGCCTGGCAAGTATTACTTCTGCCTCGGTCGGTCAATTGCAACCGCTTTGACCAAAGTGTCATTGTCGGGGCTGTTGCTGTTCTGTTGCGCGGCTAGCGCGGCTGCAACTTGAGCATGGCGGGTCTAGCATGCGTGTCGACGGGAGGATGGCAGGGGCGTCGACGAAACACATTTCACCATTTTGCGGCAATGCAACGCAGATCTTGGGAACCGCCCCTAGCACACACACATATATATATATATGTATACACGCATATGTATATATATACATACATAATACATACGTATACATATATATATATATATATACTTACGCAGGACGAAACGTTTTCCTCTCGAGGTGAAAATGGCCACGAGGAATTCGCGAGACAACGTCGGCGCCGCCGAACGGACGGCGACCGGACGAGCTGTTTGCAGCGACGGGGGGGGGGGGGGGGGGGGGAGGGATGTATTCATGTTGAATGGGGCCCGCTCGCGCGGGGAGTTGATGGGAGTGCGCGAGACGACGCGGGGCCCATCGTGGAAAGTTACCCGAAATCGGATCCGTACGGACGGACATCGGATCCACCGAAACAAGCGCCAAAACCACATTTGGACCCGCGCGAGCTTCATGAGATCCGACGGCGGTCATCTCATGCGGGTCTGCTGAAGACTTCACACCGTCGTTCCGGGCCGAAGAGGAAAACACTGTCGTCCTGGGGATGAGCGTTTTGGCCGTCGGACTCGTTGGTTACCACGTAGCCGACGCACCACATCTCACAGGCAGTCCGTTGTTAGTTACCACGCAGCCGACACCGCATCTCACAGGCCGTCCGTTGGGTGAGGAGACGCAGGGCCGAAACGTACTGAACGTTTTGGCCTTCGGACTCGTTGGTTACCACGTAGCCGACACACCACATCTCACAGGCAGTCCGTTGTTGGTTACCACGCAGCCGACACCACATCTCACAGGCCGTCCGTTGGGTGAGGAGACGCAGGGCCGGAACGTACTGAGCGCTTTGGCCTTCGGATTCGGTGGTTACTACGTAGCCGACACACCACATCTCACAGGCACGCCGTTGTTGGCTACCACATAGCCGACACCACATCTCACAGGCAGTCCGTTGGGTGAGGAGACGCAGGGCCGAAACGCATGAGCGTTTTGGCCTTCGGACTCGTTGGTTACTACGTAGCCGACACACCACATCTCACAGGCAGTCCGTTTTTGGCTACCACACAGCCGACACCGCATCTCACAGGCAGTCCGTTGGATGAGAAAACGCAGGGCCGAAACGCACTGAGCGTTTTGGCCTTCGGACTTTGCTGGTTACTACGTAGCCGACACACCACATCTCACAGGCAGTCCGTTGTTGGTTACCACACAGCCGACTCCACATCTCACAGGCAGTCCGTTGGGTGAGGAGACGCAGGGCCGAAACGCATTTACGTAGGACGAGAGATTTTCTTTTTGAGGTGAAAATGGCCATGAGGAGTTCGCGAGACAACGTCGGCGCCGCCGAACGGACGGCGACCGGACGAGCTGTTTGCAGCAACCGGGGGGGGGAGGGATGTATGTATTCATGTTGAATGGGGCCCGCTCGCGCGGGGAGTTGATGGGAGTGCGCGGGACGACGCAGGGCCCATCGTGGAAAGTTGATTACCGACCCCCGTCCCCCATGGAATCTTAACACGGGCGGTTTGCGGGGTCCGCGGATCCGATTTCTTCCGGTCTCCTGGTTTAATTTAATTATATAAATTTAAAGCCGGATAGAAATCGGATCTGCCGTAAAAAATGAGCGGACACGGATCCAACTAATCCGAAATCGGATCCGTACGGACGGAAATCGGATCCACCGAAACAAACACCAAAACCACATTTGGACCCGCGCGAGCTTCATGAGATCCGACGGCGGTTCTCTCATACGGATTTGCTGAAGACTTCACACCGTCGTTCCGGGCGCAAGAGGAAAACACGGTCGTCCTGGGGATGTATATATGTATATATGTGTATTTATATAGAAGTGCATATACAGATGTATATACACGTACATGTACAAACGTAACTATATGAACATATGCATACGTACATGTACATGCATACGTATTTGTATATATATATATATATATATATACATGCACATGTCTATGTATATATGTGCATGGGTGTAGTGCATCTAATTGTGCACATACATATACATATAAACACACACACACAAAAAACAACAGAGAGGAGTGCCGCTTGCCCCTCGCGGCGGCCCTCCTTTGCCCGCCCCTCCCGCTCGCCGGCCGTGCCGCTCTTCCGCCCTTTTCTCCGAGCTCCTGTTCCCCGCTGCTGTCCCCCAGTCTCGCCTGAGCGAGATCCTGAAGGATGCGGACACCGTCGTCAGCGAGGGCACCACGTTCCCGGTCGAGGTCGTGCACAGGAGCGGGGCGGGGGGGTGTCTTCGGGCGGGCTTCAGCAGGCACACGAGATACGAGATCGGCCTGCGAACGGGTGCACCTTGTCTCCTGATTTTGCCGCAGAGCCCTGGGGCATTCTGTGAAGCTCGGAGTCGACGAAGAATGTGCCCCCAGACTACATGTGGCAAAATCTCTTATCGTATGACTCTGCCGCGTGGCTGGATAAATCATTCCGCAGCGTGCTCGAAGCCTTCAGACCGTACTATGGCGCTCTGGAACGGCCGCGGCGCCCGACACATTCTCCAGAACCGCCGCATTTCGGATATCCCAAATTTGTCGCAGCCCGATTGTGTCCCGATCCTGGCGTCGTCGCATTCTTCTCGGGACCTCGGGCGTCGTGACTTTTGTCACACCGTCGACTCATAGAAGTCTCGACCCATTCTCCGAGGCAGGTGTCTTATCCTGAGTGGTTTTCTGACGGCCCCCCGGCCCCATGTCGGCGGCGAGCGGGGGGGGGAAGTGAAAACGGGCGGGCCTTCTCAGAAGGTTCGGGCGCCCCCAGGCCTTCTGACAAGTGTTCTAAGCTTCCCCTGGAGGCGTTTCCTAAAGGCGCGAAGGCTTCTGAGGAATCCCGCCGCCTTCTGACCAGGCCTTCTCCTTTTCATTCCCCCCCCTCGCTCGCCGCCAGCTATGAGGGTTCCCCGAAACAGAACAAAAATCAGTGCAGATCCTGCCGCCGTGCTCTCTTCACGACGTGGGCGGGTTCGTGCACCCCGTTTTTGTCCCTCCTGCCAAAGTTGTATTGGTACCGTCCACATTACAGTAGTATCAGTACTTGGAGGTGCATCCATGTGCGGTGTTCGAGTGCGTTGGTGGGGCATATGTGTCAGCATTGTTTGCCCCGCCCAACGGTACGAACAAGGGCCAGTTTCGCACCGCCTTTGTTACCACTCGACGAACTCGCCCCATGTCGCTCATTCAAGCTCGCAAGTGCATGCGCCGATAAACAACAAATGCCACGGTGGATATTGCGTGACTACCTGGTGGACCTCAAACCGTGAGTATAGGTAACACAAAGACGTCTGATAGCGCCTGTTGTAAAAATCCGTGCGCCCCCTGGCCTACTAAAGAAAACATCGCACGTACAAACATCTAACATAAGAACACGTTTTGGCATCTGACAGCCCGACGTTTCTTTCATGGGGGCGGGGTCGATGCAACTAGAGGAGATGAGGGCGAGGATTGGTGGGGGGCGATCGGGAGACATGAGTGGGGGACGGGCAAAATCTGACCAATTCAGGGCAATAAGCAACGCCGACATAGCTGGGGGGAGGTGGACGCACACGCACTTCGCATAGGGCCGCGCGGTTATGAGGGATTTCTCCTCCCCCACCCCCACACGCATTTCTCGACCAACGGCCCCCCAACCCCTACCCCTACCCCTACCCCTACCGCTACCCATGCCCCTACCCCTACACCTACCCCTACAGCCTACCGCTACCCCTACCCCCTACCCCCTACCCCTACCCCTACCTCTACCCCTACCTCTACCCCCTACCCCCTACCCCTACCTCTACCCCTTACCCCCTACCCCATACCCGTATCTTCAAATTATGGTTGTTATGTCCCTTGTTATGTCAGCTAGTATGTCCCCTGGCATGTCCCTGGCATGTCCCTTGGTCCCTTGGATGTCCTCTGATGTGTCCCTTGTCGCTCTGCGTGCAAGCTCATGCCATGACCGCCTTCCCAGCAAGCCTGTCCGATCCCCCATGTGTCCACCCTCCGCCACTTTGGGCTCAACTCTATCATCTTGTGGCACCCCGGGCATGTGGAGGTTGTTGGTGGATGGCCCTGGGGCTGGAGCAGGCGACGGTGATGCAGGAGCTGCAGCCCCACCAGCAGCTGCTGCCGCCGCCCTGGCTCCTGCCGCCCCCGCGCCAGCACCAGTTGGGCGCGGGCGCGGCCGCGGCGGCCGCGGCCGTGGGCGCGCCCGCGGCAGGGCAGCAGCCGCTCCAGGGGCGGGCCACGGTCGCGGCGCGCCAGGCAGGCCGAAGGAGCTCGTCCACAGAGCTCGGATCCGCGCCGCCATGCACAAATTTCAGGCTTGGCGGGCACGGGCTGCCCTGAGGAACACGGGCAGCTCCTTCGCGCGGGCGGTCTCGAGCACAAGTTTCGGGTGCTCCGCTGTTGACGCCAAGGACTGTGGAGCCAGCCCGCCAACCGTCCTGCGGCCGATGCCGCCCAGTCAGACATGCCCTGGGCCATGGATCAGATTCTGCAAATGCGTGAGATTTACTGAATGACCAGGTGCGGGCGCAGGGCAAGTCTGATTGGGCGGCATTGGCATCATGTCGTGGTTGCGGGTTGGCTGTGGTCCACAGGAAGCCGTGTTGAGGACCAGTGAGCTCGAGGCCGCTGGTTTGATCATCGCAGTGGACGTGAGGAGGACGTCCAAGAAGGATTGCTCCAGGGCCGCAGTGTCGCACGTGCTGTCCCAGGCCACAGGCGTGCGCGACTTCATCGCCTCAGCGCCTCCTGCTGAGGCAGGCATGCTGATCACTGCGACAATGGACGACGCTGAGATGTGGCTTCGTTCTGCGCCCAATGACGTTCAGCGACCTGCTGCTGCTGATGATATGCCCAACCCTGGCGTAGACAAGCACGAGTCCAAGCGTGGCGCGAATAAGCGCCGTTGTGTCATGAACCTTTCGCAGACAGTTCACATGATTCCTTTGTTTTCGAGGGCTTCGTTCTCGACCATGGCCTGTGAGATAGTAACGCCTGCTGTGCCCATCCCGAGGGGGAATTTCGGAACGATCTACGACAGGTGGAGGAGGTGGAGTATTTTCCCCACCAGAGGTTCTTGCTTTGATCGTGCTGATGTGTGCGGTCCTGTCGTTGATGCCGTTGAAAGTAAGTTGGTGTTTTTTTCCAAGGACGCACACGTATGCAATGGCTTACTGCAGGGACAGGTTGAACGGTCGGCGATCTTGTCCCAGGGCACGCCACACTCGTTCACTGTGATTGGCATTCAGTGTTTCGCGCACCAGCTGGTTTTGTCGATGAGGCCGAACTTTGAGCACCAGTCAGACCCGATAACAGCGATGACGCGAGCTGGTCACCTGTGGCAGTTGGCTCGATTTCGGGATCGTTTCCAGACCCAGGTTGATAAGATTGCGAACGCAGCAGTGTTTCGCGATGTCTTTGATGAGTCTGATCAGATACGTGGGTGGAAGGCGAAAACACGAGGAATCATTGCGATGACCAGGCCTGCTCGCGATTTAGACAGCACTGACCTTGAGTTTGTTGTCATGGTTCTGAACTCCGATCCAGATGATGAGCTCATCGTGCATCGGCATCATCCTGGGTGCACCTGCGGTGGAAGAATGCACTTCCATAACACTGTCAAGAGAGCGCTTGATATGTTATTCTCAGCTGGCTGCCCCGTATGTTTGATGTATAGGTTCAAAGGTTTCGAGCAAGCGAGTTGTTGGATGCTTAGGGGGATGCTTCTCTTCAAGATTCTGCCTCGGTGTTTGCGCGCCGTGTGTGATGGTGAATCGCTGGATGCTGCGGAGGCTCAGGCCGCTGTTGCTGCGGCGGCAGGGGACGTCAACCACTCGGCGAACAACAGCATCAGGGCGAAGAAGCTCACTGCCTTCATAGACGCAGACCTGATGAACAGGTCGTTGCACATTGCCGCCATCTGCAACTCGCCGTTCCAGGTCTACCTGAACACCCTGTTCAAAGCGGACCAGGCCAGGCAGCAGTTCGTGAGATTGCAAGAGCTTCAGCCGCCAACGCACCCGCATTACAGCCCCTCTGATCACGCTGAGCGCTTCGAGTTGGCCTCGAAGACGGCTCGCGACCATGTCAGGAAGTTCTTGGACGGCACCAACGCTTTGGCCTTACAGCGTGGCATCGCAGATATGTTGTTCGACAGCACGTCCAGCGGCTGGCAGGATGGAGGATGGACCGACGACCAGTTCTTCCATGCATCTGTGAAGCTCATTTCGTCTGCAGGTTCGGCATACTTCAGGACTGAGTTCAGATTTGCCCAGCCCAAGTTCGATATACTTCGTGCGTGCGTGGTGGATTACAACGAGGATGCGATTATGGCCACGATGAACACACTGGGTGATACCCACCGAGCTTGCAGGTCATGTGTTGATGCATCGTTTTCTTTGCCTTGGATTGGCAAGCTCAGTGGTCATCAGAGTCGCATCGCGCACGGTTTTTATACAACAGCTTGGCGTCCATGCCCCTCACCTCGCTGAACGAAGAGCGCAAACATTTGCTCGGCCAGGAGATCAAACGGAAGAGAGGTCGCACAGTCGGGCCGTTCGAGCTCTCGGTCAGGACTTACAGGAAGTTCGTGAGGAACAAGATTTTCGCCAAGATGGCGGAGATCAGGAAGGACGTCTGCAGACGTCATGGGGTCAAGCCGATCCACCTCACGAGTATAATGAAGCGGCTTGCTGGCAGAACAGGGCGGAGGAGAGGAGGAGCACCGGAAGGAGGACGTGCGTGCTTTTTTTTTTTTTTTTTTTTTTTTTTTTTTTATTTTTTTTTTTTTTTTTTTTTTTTTTTTTTTTTTGTTTTTTTTTTTTTTTTTTTTTTTTTTTTTATTTTTTTTTTTTTTTGTTTTTTTTTTTTTTTTATTTTTTTTTTTTTTTTTTTTTTTTTTTTTTTTTTATTTTTTTTGTTTTTTTTTTTTTTTCTTTTTTTTTATTTTTTTTTTTTTTTTTTTTTTTTTTTTTTTTTTTTTTTTTTTTTTTTTTTTTTTTTCTTTTTTTTTTTTTTTTTTTTTTCCACCTCACGAGTATAATGAAGCGACGTGCTGGCAGAACAGGGCGGAGGCGCACCGCGAAGGAGGACGTGCCTTTCAAAGAGAGGCGCGTCAGGGCGACGTCGGCGTGGATGGCATTCACTGGCCTCAATCGGACGCCTGGCGTTCGACCAGGCACGGAGGAGCACAAGCGTGACATGAAGAGGCTCGGCGCCATTTGGCGGGGCATGGATG